TATATATATATCGGGCCAGTTACAGCACAGCTGACAAGTAGATACTTACCAGGGCTCAACAAATTACCAAGGCCCTGGCCACAGCATCACAGAGCTCTGCATAGTCAAGCTGATCTTCACCAGAAGGCCTGTAAATTAGTGTGAGCAAGCTCTGCACTACCACGGCTACTCTGCTGTCAGTTCTTCAGAGCCACCTAGTTCAAGGTTAGCTCACGTGTTTCTACACATTCCTTTATCTCCTTCCCCCTCATCCAAAGACTAATAAGAAAAATGGTCTGAAGTTGCATATGCATCATCAGTCTCTAACAACGAAGTGGAAAGAGAGACCTAGATCCTTCTTGTAATGTGCTGGCAGAAGCACTCCTGTGGTGTCCTCAGCATGGCAACTGAACAGTCACCCTCTGTAAAACAAGAGCTACTCACCAGGTGCACTCTGTGAATAGCGATACTCTGGAACTGAGGCTAACTTTGACCCAAAGTCGTGATCATGTGGAATGGGTGAGCCCTCCCGTGACAGGCACTCTGGAGTTTGTAGGCCACTAGAGTGAGGGGACAGCAGGCCAGGGTGAGTAGGGGAGGCAGGAGCACTCCTGAAACACCAGAAGGTAGTGTTGGCAAGTGTAGATGCATTTTGACCACAAGACAGCAGCAGAGACCAAGAGTTATCTCCAGTCCAGGACTCTCTAGCATTGGGACAGCCTTTCTTCCACACTACTCACTACAGTCTTGCTGGAGAGAGTTGAAAAGTACACAGCAACTTCACAAATGCTCTAGCACCAAACACTGTCATATTATTCCTTGCTGAAGTGAACTGGACCTTTCAGAGTATGCTTAACATTTCATTTTAAAATCCACTGCTGACAGAGAAGCTTGGTTCCCACCTTGGAACCACTTGGTTCCCACCTCTGCTCCCACATGGCCACCAAACACCTGAGGAATCGTAACATTTCTTTAATGACAAACAAGATGGAGAAGCTGATCAGCTGAAAGCTTCTATGATTCTCCTCCTGTTTCCACTCATTTTAAGAGACAGAAAGGAAGCAAGGTGTGGGAAGAGCACTACATGAAACTGCTCCAGCTAGTGTTAATTTGTAAGTCTTACCCCTGCATCTACAGGGCTCAGAGAAAGCTGTACTGCACGCAGCTCCTCTTTCGCAGCCACTCTTTTAGGGCAGCTACACAGAACACCCCTCACTGCTTCCCTGCTGACAACCACGATCAATATCATCTTCCCTATAGGAGAGTGTTTTAAATACCACAAAAGTTATTCCCACCATGATCTAATCTACATCTAAACACAGCTTTCCTGAAATTAGAGATTGGCATCTGAAAACATTTACTCCAGTGATAACTGCTTTGAATTTCTTTGAAATTATGCCAAAATAGATATGTTATTTGATGCATTTTTGTAGTTTAGTTCTGGATTTTTTTTTGTAAACACTTAAGAAGTCATAACAATTTTCAGATTATGCCTCAGGACTATCTAACCTCTCAAACTATAAACAGAAATACAGTTTGCTAACTGTACTTCAGGAGAAGTTTTTGTTTGTTTTCTTTCTAATGAGTTTGGCACAGAGATTAGAGGAAGTTGAAGTTACCTGGAGGAGAGAGGCCCAAAAGGTGTTCGGAAGCAGGACACTCCTCTTTGCCTTCGTTTTCTAAATGCTTGTTCTACTAGTTTGGCTTCAGAAGCAGGGTCAATTCGCCAAAAGGAGCCCTTTCCAGGCTCCTCCTGGGAGCGTGGGACTTTAATAAAGTAACGGTTCAAGGAGAGGTTGTGCCGAATGGAATTCTGCAGGAAGCAGAGGAACGAGATGATTATTTTGCCATGAGGAAGAATATAACAAAGATGAATGGGTTTCACAACACAGCTTGGAAAAATAAAATCCACACTGCCAGAATCGGTGTTGAAGACAGAAACAAGTCACTCAACTCAAACAGCTCCAAAGTCACAGGAGAACTGCAAGAGAAAACCTGGGGAAAGGTGTCAGATAGAGTTTCTACTAACCATGCTGAAAGATGAGTTTGCTTGGTACTACACTATCACTTAAATACATCTGGAGCCAGGCAGTGCAGTGACTTTTCTGTGGAAAGCAATGAAAGCAAAGCTTTTGCTGAGGCAGGGGGAAATCTCTGTAAACCACATCAGAACTCTCTCAAAAGACAGGCTTTATTCTAGGCAAGCGGAAAAAATTGCCTGAGCCTGTGCTGGCTGCTTACCTGCCAAACAATCACCAGGGTGCCCAAACATGCCCTAAAGGACACAGCATCTCAGTAATCATAATGCAAGCCAGCCAACATGCCCTCAGACAGCTGTCTCTGAGAAGAATCCATTATTTATGTGGCACTAGTCTAGCACTGTACAGCTCTCTAGATGTTGACAAGACTAATTACCCTTTTCATTGCAAAAGCCCACCTCTGACTGGGTGTAGCACTGTCTTTTGGGCTAGGGGAAAGGTTCAGTAAGCCCAGGTGTGCACAAGCTCATTCCCCTTCCACTTTCAAATCAAAACAGGAGCTTTTGTAGCAGCTTTAGACAAGCCCTTCACAAGTGAAGCCTTACAATGCCACTAGCAGGGGAGAGGAAAAGACAAGTTCACCCTCCACTGAAATGCAGTTTTCTTTGAAGCAGGACGCAGCAACTGGTTCACAAAGCACAACTCTGCCGAGCAGGTTAAGGCAGGAAGTGAATTCCTCAATTAATTACAACTGCAGGGAAAAGCCAGGGAGGCAGAAATGTATTTATTCCAACTGTACTCAAAGTGCACCAAGCAGTACTGCTCCTGCCAGTTGAGCACAATGAAATCAGCAGCTGCAAGAGTCTTTCCAACTGCATTAGTGTATTATATTCAAATGACAACACCCATTTCAGAGGTGTGATGCCAAGAAAAAGTCTGAAAGCAGGTGGAGCTGAGGTTTCTGTGACTTTGAAAGCAGCCCTCAAGTGAACATTTAAGCTTGACTTAGTATGTGTTAACTACATCCAAACTCTCCTATGAATCTGGTTAGATTTCCTTTCATACCACAAGGAAAGCACAGACTCGAAGTTCCCCAAGTTCCCATTCTGAGATTCAAAACTTGCAAACTGTGGTTTAGGCAATGTGGCTGATACACTGTGAAAACAAAACATCTGTGATGATTTAAGGTATTATTATGATTAAAAACTGGGACCTTAGTTCTAGTCTGGACATCTGCTGCTAGGATAGATCATGCCAAACAAAGACACAAGGTGAAGGATTAAGCAGGATTCAGTCAAGTATCTGGGCAGAGAAATGACTGATAGCAAGGATGTGGAAGAATAAAAAAACAAAAATGAAAGACATGATTCCAGCATTAAAAGGGTTTCAGAAACCAGAGAGCCCAATAGTAACACACTACATTGCCCTAGAAAGTATTTGAAAAAAAACCTAATCACCCACAAACAAACTAGTCAGCTTTCGTTAAACAAATTCACTCTGGGAATAGTCAAAGCAGCTCTATTCCCAGTGCCCCAAATCTTTAATAAATGTATTTCAAAGCAGATAAGCCCTGTCAAAGTAGTTTAAAAGCTTGTCAAGAACTCACCTGCCAGCCTTTGTCAGCTGTCCTGTAATATGGATAATGCTTGGTAATGTGGGCATAGATCCCACTTAGTGTTAATTGCCTGTCCTGCGCTGAAGATATAGCCTGCACAATTAGCTGAGCGTAGGAATAGGGTGGCTTGGACTCATCCTAAGGAAAAAAACAAACAGAAATTTAGTCACTAACAAAGAATTCCTACACTAGAGTGTACCAACAGCTCAAACTAAAAAAGCACATTGGGCTGTAGTTTTCACAGATGCTAAGAGAGCAACAGGGACAACTAAAAGCAGCATCACCCTCTTCCCTTTCACTCCTGTTTTACACAGGCACCTCCCAATTTAGCACAACCATTTGTGTGAAAACAGGACTATAGGACTGAGCCAGATTAAAGTATCTCCTTCCTTTTCCCCACGAACACACACACAATAAAGCTAACTTGAATCTGATTCCATTCCCCACTGAATTTACCACATGTGCTTACACCAGCCCAAAGAACAGGATCAGGACAAGCAATTGGAAGCAAAGAGTTTGAGTTTCAGTGTTCATGAAACTAAAGCCTTCAAATCTGCCCAGCTACAACCTGACTTTGTTAGAAAGCTTCCATGCAAGTATGCTATCCGTTCTCCTCCCAGCATCAAGCCCAATATGAAACTTGATCCTGTCCCTTCCCCTCTCCAGCAGGATTTGTTTCATTCTAGGAACTTTAATTTGTTTGCCAGATCTCATATTCCCAGCTCTTCATATTACTCCATCAAGAACAGCCCTTCTTGTCTCAAGGGAGAATTCAATCTACAAAAAAAAAGCCATCTAGTATTGTGCTCCTCCACCCAATCCCAAATCAGGTGGTTTTGGATCTAGACCTTTAACTTTGATCTGAAGATCAGCTCACCAAAATTACATTTTATCATTATAGCTAAGTTATTTTTTAATCTAAATTCCACTTGCTACTCTCCTCATTTAACACTTGCTTGACAGGCCTTTGTGTTTGTTTTAAAGTCAGACTACAGATTTCTCATGGCAAGGATCTGGTTTCTTCCCCCGCTTCCCCTTTCTCCAACTGTGTTTTGCAAAATACCATTAATTAGAAGGAGAAAACAAGACTCTGAATTTGAAGGCACCTCTTCTTTATGGGTTCTTGATTTATCAAACAAACAAAAAAAATCTTCTCTCTTAACCCTTTTAGTGAGTGACCTGAATACATTCTGGGCAGCTAGATTCATCATCTACCACTAATAAGACATTGGTTTTAAGGCACGGTCTCAAAACCCTGGAGGATACTGTATTCAGTGCCCTTATGGCCAGGGTACTCCTAAACCCCTTTTAACTATATCCAGAACTGGCAATAAACTGCCAGGTCTTAATAAGCTTCCCAATGAGCACTGATGGGTAAATAATGTTTCTCTGAACCTTTGGGCTGTCCCCGCCAGATGCATCTGCCTGCTGTTCTGATGCTGCTTTTGCGGCATACTCTGCTGCCAGCTGCAGATCCGAGGTAATGTTGTGAACAAAACGATATCCTGAGGATCCAGCACCACGTGGACTGGCCGGGCAAGAGTTGGGAACACTGGAGAGGCAAAAAGGTAATAAAGTTATTGGTTATTTTCATTTATTAACAAGACACATAGTTCTTACTCTCAAAGGTACAGTAAAGCTCCCAGGTCACTGAGAAGCAGATATGCATTGGACTTATTTCTACCCCTGCGGCTTATCCAAAGCCCAGACAGATTGAGGGGGAAAAAACCATCGGAGATAAAATTGGAATTTCTACAAAATTCTGACACTGCCCCCTGCCCCTTTCCACAATCACAAGACAGCAGAGTCTCAAAGCATTAAGGAGTTTCTCTGTGTTTAGAGAAGCACTTAAAGCAACATACACTGTATCAGGGATGAACACTTAACTAAATAAAATAGCTTGCTATTATAACTTGTGAATGAACAACACACCCCTCTCCTTACAACACAGGTAATATTTAATCGATCCTTTTAACAGATACAGGTAATGTTCTTCTACAGCATCACAGTTAAAGCACCCAGTGCAGGCATCTGCCATGAAGGTCCTTGTTTAACACAACACACGAGCTTTGGAACATCCTACCCTGATCAGGGTCGCACAGTTAGAGACCGTGGTTTCCTTGATTCACCAGCACACAAACACAGCTAACAAAAGGGAGCTACCATCAGCAGTACACAAGACAGAAGGGAGCTCACTCATCAGCTTTGGCAAGCATGGAGAAAAGACCCATTGAGAGTCCCAGGGCCACCACAAGATGGCATTACAGGAACAACTACTGAGCAAGAAAGCCTCACTAAAGCTGATAAAAAGCTACAAACAAATAAAAAGGTCGCTATAATTTGCGGCACCACTCAGGCACACAGAAGTGAGTGCTACAAGATGAGAACTAATCAGAAAAGCTTGTCTAGGGATGACACATCCTTGATTTGCGGGGCTGGAAGGACTGGAGGAGAGGGATGAGTCTGTGAATCTAAAAATCCCCTTTTTCTATCTCTCCTCCATTCTGCACTGCGTGGCCTTGAGGGGTGCAACGCCAGAGTGGCATATGAGGCATAGCCAAATCCCAGGATTACACACGTCTTCTACGTAAGCACAGAGAAATAGTGAACACGAAAGCAAAACAATACACAGAAGATTTACATAGCCAAACAAGCAGTTCAAATTGTAGGAAAAAATGCAAATTGAAGCCCACAGCTGGGAACCAGAATTCAGTGAAACTGGCATCAACAATCCCCTTACCAGTCAAAATGCCCAACAGCAACGCTAATCCCGACACAAATAAACACAGTAACTGACACTCATCACAGCACCGTGCTAAATGCTGCATGAAAAAACACCCAGCACAGTCCCTTCCTCAAAAAGGGGACTGTCTGAACAGCTTCCCCCACACGCACGTACACATGGGGATGGAGAGGAAACAGTGAGACAACCTTTGTTTGCTCAATGGGCAATACCTGTGGTGTACAAGCAATGTGACAGCCTCAGGAATGACTGTTTCCTCCTGCAGTCCAGCCTGTAAACTGAGAAGTGCTGCTTCTCCTTGTGGTGTTCTTTGCAAATGGCTGCAGTGCTGAGCTCAGCACAACTGAGACTGGTTTCTTTTAAAAGTGAATTATAGGAGGGGGACGGTCAGGGGAAAAGGGAAAAGACAACAGAAATCTCCAGCCACAACAAACCCTTTCGATGGGAAAGCCAGGCTCACCCATCTCCCTACACTGGCCTTGCAAAGGGTTGCACAGTGCTTGGTAACAACCCTTCAGTGCCCACCAACAGCCTTTGGCATTCACAAGCGATGCTGTTCAGAAGCGCAGCAGGAGGTGAAGCTTTCAGGAGGTGTGATGTATATAATATAGATAAGCCCATATGTATAAATCTCCCTTTGACAGAGATAAAGGCATTTCTTGCCTAGTCTTTCAAAAAGCAGAGACCTGTTTGTGCAGGAAAATGAATCAAAGTTTGCTATTCCATGCTTTGAGCCTGCTTTGGAAGTGGATAATGCTAAACCACAGAAGACACTCTTGATGTCTTAGTATTCACATGGGGAGCTGGTGTGAATTTAATTATTCCGCTGTCATTTTTCAATAGCCTCTCCACATACACACTTATAATGTGTAGATAATTACAAATGAAAGCCATTTTCATACATGAAACAATGACAAACCAAACCCACAGTAATTCTTTTTATCTTTCTGTTTGGCACCTGAGCAATTATTGTAACACACCAAGTAGGAATGGAATAGGATGAAACAGCTTTCTGATTTTGTTCTTTGTCTGCAGAAATACGTGGACAGTAAACCACAGAGAGACCAGACAAAAGTCAGGTCAAGGATATGGAAAAGAACAAAGTTCTCAAGTAAATCCATGCACTGCACAGAACTGTGTTGCTTCGTGATTTTTATTTTAAAATAAAACTAGTATGGCTTCAAAACCTGTCCTGTGCAGCTTAGACACAAAAATTGCCTCAATTCAAGATCAGCAGAGCAAGCAGTCTAGTTTTTGCTGTTCAAATTTCAGCTTCTGAGGCACAGAGGGAGAAACCCTTATCCTGCAGGGCTGCGGTTCTCCTGAGTGCTGACAAAGCCCCTCCAACCTAAAGTGTTGTTAACTTTTAGAAAAGCCAGCCTCTCCCAGTAGGTAGTCACTGAAGAACACAACAGTCCCTTAAAGAAACAGCTGTCCCTTGGGAGAGCCACAGCAGTAGCCAAAGATTTGGAAGAGGAATTATTCTTTTACCAGAATGGGGCACTTTCTGCCCAGGTAGACCTGCTTCCTTTCAGCCTTGACCAATGATCAAATCAAGAGACAGAGGTACAGAACAAACAACGTGACCTTGTAGCAGCTCCATGCAAAGAGACAGGGTAACACATGCTGCTAAGTGTTCAAGCTCTCAGTCAATCATCAGAGAGCTCTTCTGAGGGAAGGAAGAAAGAGCTGACTACTGGAAAAAACAAGGAGGCACAATTTGTTTCCCCCTGCTCAACATGGGAGAGGAGGAGTGAAGAAACAGTTTTACTAAAAATACCCCTCTGAGGGTTAAGTTAAAATTAAACATTAGGGCAGTCAAAAGAAAACAAGCAAACACAATACAGTGACATCAGTTTCCTGGAGTTCCTGGAATTCTCCAAGCTGAGGCTGGCTGGGGAGTTTGCATGCACTCACACCCCCTTTAAAAATATTGTGGAACAAAAAGACTTTTCCCTATAAACACCTGTTTGTGCTATAAAACAAAAATCAAGTGTGGGGACAGTGATAATGATTTATTGGATATTAACACTGCACCAATACTTAGAGATGACTTGATCCATTTTGATACTATAACCATTTACTGAGAAAAGCACAGCTAGGTTTGCAATTTCAGCCAGCTCTCAGACATCCTAACTTACTGTGATCCATGCTTACCATCCACGCAGGCAACCTTAGCTTACAAGCTAAGTTGAGTTAAGCTTGTCTGTTTATGGAACAGAGCATTTTGGGAGAGAAAGCAAGTGTTTTATACCATCAAAAGGCACACAGAGCACGTAAGCAAGCCAGCTGCAGTTATCCAGTCTTAATCCTGTGGCACTGTGGTTAATGCCCCAAGTCCCAGAGATCTCTGATATCCATCGAGGATTCAGCATCTCAACTTGAAACACTGACTGCAGGCAGCCAGTGAACCACAGTTCCCCAACCACCACGCTGAGACTCAGCTTTAGAATCAGACAACAACCACGTGCTGAATCACATCGGTCCTTTGCAGCATGTTTTCCATTTCATACTTAACCCTTCTTCAGCTGGAAGGCCAGAAAGATGAGGGCTGAAAGCAGTGTCTGCAACACGTTCATCCATGTAGTGAGCAGAATGCCTTTTAAACACAAGGCTTAACTTCTGGCTGTGGAGAATATAACAGGTCTTGTAGCATCACGATTCACTTTCAACTCCTGCCAACAGGAATCTAGCCTCTTAAGTTCACAGCGCTTTCTAGCAACAATTAAGTCTTTAAACACCAGCTATTGGTGAAGACATACAACTTACTGGAATGTCCAAAATCAGTTTGCTTTAACTAAAGAATCAGTGTGCAAAAATAGGATGTACCACTGTGTGCATGGTTTGTCCACACCCAGGATCCAGAGAAGGTACTGACGGGACAATTCAGAATGATCAGAGATATGGAACAGATTCCATACAGGAAACAAATAGTTTAAGATAGAAGCTGAGCTGCAAGGTGACAGAGCCTATAAAAACAAAGCCAAGAGGAGGTGTTCAGCTCCTGGCCTCTTCCAAGAGAAGGGATGGTGAACACAAAATGAAACTAAGCAACATGTCCAAAACAAGTGCTTCTCTGCTTGTATTAACACCGTGGAATGACAGGCTGTGAGACAGCGCTGATGCTAAAAGTCTATGTGAATGCAAAAGGCCATTATACAAGATCTTAGGGAAAGAAGAAAGACAGGGAATCCATCAGGGGCTTTATTAGACAGATGGTCAGGAAGTCTCTTCTCCAAGGCAGCCCTCGGTCCAAGAAAAAGGTGGAGGCAGACTGCACCTAAGTTAGCATTACTGGATATTTTCTGTTATTTTATTACCCCAAAGATACCTGTCTGAGGCAGAACACTGGGCTATAGGGATCTGTTGGCTGAGCACATATAGAGATCCTTACATATAAATCTCCAGACTCTCTCAATAATAGTCACATTTTACAGACGGAGGAAAAAAAAAACAAATGAAGCAACAGGTGGTTAAATTATATATTTATGGTCATATTACAAGTCTATGAACACGCTGGGAACAGAAACACTCCCAAATTCCAGTGCCAGTTTTCCAAAAGGAGAAGCAGTATGTAAATGCAGGAAAGTTGCTCAATTACTTAACTTTATTCTTTTCTGCAAGAAAGATATCTGTAGGGATCAAGCTATAGAAGATTAATTTAAGCCAAGTGTATGGATTAAGCACCTATCCTCTCTATGAAAAAGAGGAAAGATTACCTGGGATCCCACATGAAATCGTTCACCTGACTTGGAATCTGCATTGCTGAAGAGGAGAAAACCCATCTCTTCAACTTTGGGGTGTGGGAG